GGAATGAGCGAGGGAATGAGCGAGGGAGTGAGCGAGGGAGTGAGCGAGGGAGTGAGTGAGTGAGTGAGCGAGCGAGCGAGTGAGTGAGTGAGGGAGTGAGTGAATGAGTGAGCGAGTGTGAGCTTCGAGGTTCACAAAGTACTGCACCTGCGACGAAATCTGCACTTCGAGGTTTACCATGTGCTGCGCGCGCCACGATATTTGACATCTGCGCTTCGATCTTCACAAAGTCTGCACTTCGAGCTTCACAAAGTGCTTCGCCTTCCACGGAATCTGCACTTCGAACTTCGAGTTCGAACTTCGAGGTTCACAAAGCGCTGTGCCTGCCACGAAGTCTGCACTTCGATGCTCACGAAGTGCTGCGCCTGCCACGAAATCTGCAAACGAGCCACATGTCCAAAAGCTACGACGCACTGCACCTGTCACGAAATCAGAGCGGCTTGAAGATCACCACCATGTCCAAAGTACTGCGCCTGCCACGAAATCTGCACTTCGAAGTAAAACCGCTCCGACCCGATCCCTTGCACCTGTTGAAAAGTCGACTTTGGACCACAAAAACACGAGGTTTCCCTTGCGCCTGCCACGCAAAGTGATCACCATGCGCGAAAATGCGCACGGCGCCACAACGAGAGCGCAGTCGCGACAAGCACTCGCCGCCGCCGCCTGGATTTCCCGAGGCTGCGCAGTCGAAATGCACTTAGAGGATGTCGAGAGGCATGAACGTACTGTAAATAACCGTGAATTAGCCGTTAACGTCCGCGCGCCCCAGCGATCTAAGCACAGCTGCTTAACACCTACGACCCACCGTAAGAACCCCTAAGTGTGTCCACACTGTTTGGGGAAAAACTTCCTAAACTACCACCTGACCTCATGGCCTCACGGCCTACCCCGCTAGAAAATGTTCAAATAAATTTGGCCGAAGTCCAAGTTGCTGGAGTGGTAGGGCTGGTTGCGGAATCCTGGTTGGCCAACGAGTGTGCTTGACACTAACATGAATGCTGCCTGAGCCTGAGTCGCACACCTTTCTTTCCACATCCAAATGGCCATCCAGAACTTGTTCACAAATCTGAGTCTCGAAATTCCAAAGCCTCATGGCCTGCACTGACTAGCGCAAAGTGAAGCAAAACATGAGAGAAAAACAGAAGCAGGGTTCGCACAAAAGGGCATGCACGGCTCTAGAAGCAATAGGCTATCGCGGCTATATTTCTAAGTGACACCTCTGGTGATCCTGCCAAGGCAGTACGATGGACCCAATCCACAGACATTGTGGTGACCTTGGAGGTGCGCAAACTTCATCACACTTCGCATCTGCTTTAGGCTCAGGGTTTTGCAGCGTGCCCGTTCTGAAGGACTGCCAAGCAGACCTGGACATGGTGACTTCCTCCAAGTGCGTTCTGCTTCTGCAACGCCAACACAAAGAACAGGCCGAGGCGCTGCGTTTGGTAGCCCCCACAATCGTACAGTTTTGTCCCAGGATGCGCTCAATGCTTGGCCTGATGTGGCAAATAAGAAAGCAAACAGAAGCTAAATGCCCAACAAGGAACCATGGTGCCTTCGGACCAGCGAAGTGCAAGACAGGATACTGCATCAGTGTGGCCGACCAAAGTTCCAAGACCTTCAAAGCATGGAGGAGGCTGAGATCCTAAAAAGCAAATAACCCGCAGAACTGAGGTTCTAACAGGCCCCACTCTTCAGATTCCAGTAGCAAATAGAAGCATCCTGAAAAAAATCATTTCACAAATGGGGTTTGCAGGGTTGACGGATGTGTTCTTTGTTAGTTTAACAAATATACAGTGACACTTAAAGAGTGGCTTGGTATACTTTTGGTTCAAAAGGGTCGTACCATCGTACCTTGAAACGATTCTTTTGTACGCAGGTCACGGTGGCCTATGATGGTCTTGTCTTATAGGGCAATGCTGGAAGCAGAGGTGATAATCGACTATCACGATCCCTCTTTAAAATGCTGGTACCGTCTGATTACCTTATATAGTCTTCTGGTGGTTATTGTGATCTTTTTGATGGTTGGTTGCTCTTGTTTTTTGTTGTTGCCGTTGTTTTTGTTTTGGTTCTGTTCTGTGTTCCAGCTTCCGTTCTTGTTGATGTTGTGGTGTTGGTGGTTCTTGCGCTGGCTTCTTTGTTATTGAATAGCGCTGCAATAGCAAAATGTTTTGGAGCAGTCAGTGTCTGAAGGGATTTTTTCTGTGGACCACATGAAAGGTATGAAGCCGGTAGATTTGTATCTTGAATATGCCGGCTTAGACTCAAACACAGCCACCGAGAGACCACTATGGTAATGCAAGACTCGGAGGAAAAAATAGCGGAGCACTTATTGTTGAACGCCTGTGATTTTCGTGGAGCTTGTATCAACGTGGAGTAGATCAAGATCGGAGCACAGCATGAAGTGTTGAATGCTTTAGGTTTTCTCGATTTTCCTGGCGCGGTGCTCTCTGGAGCGTCCCTGTTTGGTGGTCTATTTGAGAGTCCGGGAAAAAAGAAACGTCAGTGAAGACCAGGAGAATGATGCCCGAAAGGTGGTTTTGGGTTGTTTTGAAATGTGTTTCGGGCATCGTGCAGCAATGCGAAGCCCTATAAAGAGCAGGGCTGGGAGAAAGAAAAGAGGAGAGCACTCATTCTTGAATGGCTGTAGTTTTCGTGGAGCTGGTATCACTGCGACGTAGATGAAGATCGGAGCACAGCATGAAGTGTTGAATGTTTTTAGTATTCTTGATTTGCTTGGTGCGGCGCCTTCTGGAGCGTCCCTTGTTGGTGTTCTATTTGAGAATCTGTGCAAAAATAGACGTCAGTGAACACCAGGAGAATGATGCCGGAAATTTTTTTTGTGGTTGCGTTGAAATGTGTTTCGGGTATCATGCATCAATGCGAAGCCCTATAGAGAGCAGGACTGGGAGGAAAAAAAGCAGAGCACCTATAGTTGAAAGCTTGTAGTTTCGTGGAGCTGGTATCACTGCGACTGAGATCAAGATCGGAGCACAGCATGAAGTGTTGAACGCTTGCAGCTTTCTTGCTTCTCCTCTTGCGGCGCTCTTATCCCCAAGCCTCTACCTCGCCCAACTGCACATCGTTCGCTCCCAGAGCGTTCACTCTTTGTTGCTTGGTCCTTCTTGGTATGATCAGAGCTACACAGTCCCCATGCCCTGCTCAGGACTAGAGAAATTGCCTCCACTTGCGCACTATGATTGCCACCGCAAGCCCGGCCGCTCTGCAACACGATGGCGCACTTGCGCTGCTCGTCGCATGGATCCTTGGGGCAACTCTCCGTCTAGAAGCTGGCGCACCAGGGTCGTTCTTCATGTACTTGGTGAGCAGCTTGTTGTTTAGACGCACGCATGACGGAGACTCCGACGACCCCTTCATGATGCTGATGATGCACTACTCGGCGTCCATTGCATCACTCGCATCACCAGACCCATTTTCACTGCTTTTCTGACCCTCGCTTTGGAGCGCTCTCCCCCACCAAGCTCCGGGTTCACCCTCTCAAAAGGTGCCTTTTCGCACCCTCCCCCCCCACACCCCCTTAACTCACTTCGTTCGCTCTAAGAGCTCAAGCTTAACCTATCGGCTGGCTTTCGTAATAAATGTGGACACTCAGCTCTGACAAACATGAGCTCGACATGAATGGTTTGAATGGTGTCTAGCTACTGAGCGGACGTTGTCGAAGCAAAAAAAAGACTCAGTAGTGCGCTGGTGCACGCAGTTGCTGTTAAGAAATCGTGGTTTGCGCTCTTGGCGTTTGGTGAAAACTGTGCGCTTAATTCGTCCAGCTTTGCTTCGGCTTGCCGTTTCAGCATATTCTTTCCGTGTTCCAGATGTTTGTCACATTTGAGACTACTTTACAAGCTAAAGGTTTTGTTTCAGGGTTCCTAAGAGTCCATCTCTGTCGTCTGACCCCTCCTCCAATCTTCTCCTGTCCAATTGACACAGATTCTCCCAGTAACAAGTGCTTATAAGTATAAAAATTGTCTATAATTGCGTGGTATTACAAAATCGTATTTTATCATTGCAAAAGAACTTGGTGATACCCAAAAATAATTTGATCCCATGTGTTACCATTTCTTTTAATATCTTTAATCTGATACCAGCGCGTGCACTGAAAAATGAGAACAATGGATCAGCATCAAATCCATTGTCCATTTTGGATGTTTTGCGCAAACCAAATTTCCATCCGCCACCCTGTCCATGGAGCCACTGAGCGCTGTCGAACTAATCCAGTCAACGTCAACCGCCCATACCTGCACTCTCCGATCATGTTCTTTTTTGCCAGAGGCCACAGTGCTGCTACACATGTTTGCAGCCTTTTCCGTCTTCATCAGTGTTTCCATGGAATCATGTCCACAAACTGGCTGTTCCAGAAGTTTCAGGAAAAACACATAAGAATGATGGTAACTGCACTAAAGTGTGATTGTTAAACTGATTTTCAAGATCCCTAAAAGCAGAACAACCATACATCAGCATCACGCTCAGCCAGTACTTGAAAGCGTGGTCGTTAAACGCCCGTTCCACTTACAAGCAAATCAAAACCGGTGCCTCTTCTCCATGCTCAAAGGTCTGAGTACATGTTGAACGTTCCGTGTTCCAAAGTTTCAGTGTACCTTACCAACAAGCATCAGAAGGTATTCTGGCGAGAACTACAGTAGATTCAGCCAGGAACCGTCGCAAGAGCCACTGATAGCCTTATGGTTTGGCCAGTGCAGCCTACAGTAAATGGTGCCAAGAGTGGTTGCGACTCGCGACTTGTTTCGCAAAGTGAGGATGATTTGGAATGCACTTCTGAAGCTGCCTCACGGCCTTCACCATGCCGCTGTGGCCGTTGAGTGTGCCAACACACACCTTAGTGGGGCATGGAAAGCAATCAAGCCTCAACAGCCGCCAACAGCTAAAGAAAACGATGGAAAGCAGGGCGATGTCACTGGACGAGGTTGAAAAGTGAGTTCAATAAAGAGCGGTGGCTTCTGAATGTAGAAAGGTTTTTTCTCTTGCCACGCACTTCGTTGCACTCTCGCAACCAAAAGAAGCGCTTAGGCGCTTGGTACGATGTCATACTGAATCATATTACGCGTTGTCGGGCTGCTCGAAGAATATTTGTGCTTTGGAAAGGGGCTCCTTCATATTGGGCGTGGCTAATACGATTGCGAATAGCCGCCTCGTTGGTTCTAAACAACCATTGCTGTCTAGTGTGCCCAAATCTACATTTTCCAACATGGGCAGGCTCAGGGCTAGGTCTGAATTTGGCACGCGCGTAGTATGTGCCCTGCCAATCTAACTCGCCGAACAGATCGGGTAGGATCATTTGGCTACGCCGTACAAGAGGCAGCTCATACACACTTGCAATTGTGTTCCTGCGATCCACAAAAGTTGTGGAAAGCTTTACGATCTTTTGCAGGCCCCGTAAATGGAAGGCATCCACTTTCTTTCGCAAGGCCTGCGTGAAATGCAATGTCTCGAGGCTTTTATAGGAGCTTGCTTTTGATCACTTCATCATATACAAGAAGTTACCATTTGTTATTTTGCAACAGAATCCGTCCAAAACAGTGAAAATTTATATATCATGTGCGTTTTGCGTCCTGCATTCGCTGTGAAACTTCTCTTCTGAGGTCTACTGTGTGGTTCAGGTTATTTCTTAAATAGATGGCTTCTTCGGCTTTGACAAGGGTGTCGTGTCTCGAAAATTGATGTTGGCGTCACGATTCATATGAATGGAATGGCACTTGGCACAGTTGATGCGCAATCCGCAGTTTTCCGAACAATCCTCAATGCGTTCCAAGATTTCATTGAGACTTCGTAGCTTCGTGGAAAAAAAATAGCATCGTCTGCGCAAAAGACTGTATCGAATTGCACCCCTGGAATCCGTGAGTTGATGACATATGGCCAGAACATCTAAAGTTAACATCGTCCTCTACACAAGTCATGACGAACAAGAAAAAGTATGGGCTTAAAGGACAACCCTGTCGGATTCCAGCCGATTGAGTCTTGAGCGACGATGCACCAAATTGGTCTTGACAAAGAATCTTGGGGATTGGTACAGAGGTTGAACTGCTTTCTTTTGATCCTATGATTTGATAGCCCTAATCTTGTGAGGGAATCGAAAAGTCTTGAGCGCAGAACTGTATCAAACAGATCCCAATCGAAGGGCCAAGTACAAGTCTGCTCCCTGGTGCTCTGACCAATCTACAACCTGCGTACAATGTATGTCACCTGGGACGTCAATCGAATTGGCCCGGAACCCATATTGAGCTTCGGAGAGTTTGGGGTCCATAGCACTCTGCAGTCTTCCCGAACTAGATAGACAAAAATCATCAAAAATATTGTATATAATGAATTCAAGAGAGAAATGGGATGGTAGTTTGAAGGGTCGTCAACATCACCTTGTGTGTAAATTGGGACCACTCCAGACTCCAGCTATGAGAAGATCTGCGGAATCTCGCCGTGAACCCACCAGTCATTCAAAATTTCCAGCAAGCTTTGTCGGGGAACTGCGTTGAGCCACTTATACAATCAATTCAGGAAAAACTGGTCAGGGCCTGGTTGCCTTGCTTATCTTGTTTCAGTACATCATTGAGATCCACCAATGAAAAGACTTCTTAACGTTCGAACTTGAGCCCACCACGACATTGTGTGCCCTATGGGATTCTTGGATGCGGGTTTAAGGTCGACCTACGCATCGCACTTCAGGTAGTGCCCGAGTACCAACTGAGCCCCATGCTTCAGGAGCGATGCTGCGGACGGCACTCAACCACAAAGCTGTCATGGCCCGTGCAGGAGTATAATCCTTCCCATATGCACGCAAATGGTGTCTCCTCAGCCTTTCCATCTCCGTCTGCCCGCCGCAGCTGCCCACAGTCCCCACTAGCTCACGTGCTTGATTCCAACACGCCACTGCTTGGTGCATGCACCGCAGAGAAACCAACGAGCGAGCTCGTCAACGTTTTGTGAGGAAGCCTTTTTCCTCGGACCCACCGCTGAGCGGCTGTGCGAAAATCCTGCAATCCTGGATCTCATCAGCTCCAACAACTGTCCATCTTTGTCGGCTTCTAGGCAGCGCGTCTTGTCCTTCAGACTCAGACTCTTCTTTCGGGTACCACTTCTGCCGACATCCAAGTAATGCAGGTTGAAGTTCGAACCCTATCCCATGCCTCATGTGAACCAATCCACTGAAGCGCGCGCAACAGTAACAATTGAATCTAATCCATGCACCTAGGACCCACAAGAAGAGTTGCACCATGGGCTGACATTCGGATGTAAATCCATGAGATGAACCCATGGGAAGGAGGGAATAATGGATTGAGATTCGATATTAAACCCAGTTGAACTTGACTTCAAACCCTATTCATGATAGAATGCGTCCAGAGTTCAGGGGCTATGGCAGCAGGCAAACGATGAAGACAAAATGGTCTCAACAATACTCAACAAAACAAGACTTTGACCGTCTTCACAAGATCTCTTCGATTATTTGCCACGCAAACATTCATCAAAGTTGGGAGCTCGATCGGCCCAAGCCAATCCCGGCTTTCTGAAAACTGAACTTCATCGTATCTGTTTCCTACTTTTTTTCATGTCAGTTCTCTGCAAACTCCTGCTAATTTTCGTCTGGGAATGACACATCCAAAACCATAATTCCAAGGCACGCCAAGTTCACTGTCCCAAAGTTTGAGGTTGTTGTCCCAAGAACCTCCAACTAAACGGCACGAGCATGAATGCAAAGGCTTCTCTTTGGGCACAAGTCTCCGCCATGCCAAACGTGCCTGTCAAGATTCTGCGAGCACTGTGATCAAATTCCAGACCTTGACATACATCGCGGGCTAACTCATGCGTTGCTGCAACTTGAATCTCACAGCATGATGTGTTCGTGCAAAGTCACAAAGTTGGCACTGGCAGCCTGGAGAGCCTTAAATTGACTACGGCTTCTTCTTCTTCTTCTTCTTCTTCTCCTGCTCCTGCTTCTTCTTCTTCTTGTTCTTCTTCTTCTTCGTCTTCATATTCTTCTTCTTCTTCTTCTTCTTCTCTTCTTCTTCTCCTTATCCTTCTTCTTTTTCTTATTATTCTTCTTCTTCTCCTGCTTCTTCTTATTCTTCTTCTTCTTCTTCTCTTCTTCTTCTTCTTCTCCTTCTTCTTTTTCTCTATATCTCTGTATACTGTGTATATGCATATATAGGTATAAACAGGGGTGGGTGTCCCCGCGCACAATATCGCACAGTAATTTTTGAAAGCTGCCTTCCCATCACCCATCAAAAAAGAAAAAACGCACCAATTCGCAGAAGTTGGAACCAATCATGAGCCTGCGCAATACTAAGCCGAGGTATATAAATGTGGAGAGAAGGGATTTCTCTCAGGTTTTCTTATTGAGACGGATGCTCCATGCAATGCAGCTTGTAGACAGTGCTCCCTTGTCAACCGTGGAGACACCTTCTGTGCCACCAACTTGCATGATAATGGCACTAAGGCGGACTCTTTTTCTACCGTTTGGCACTTCCCGCAGGAATGGTTGGAACGCGCGCACACAATTGACAAACACATTCTACTTTCCCACACATCACAAAAACACGTCAAAACTGTGACAGGCTGCTTTGAACAAACATGCCATGGGGACAAAAGGCAGGGTGTTCTGCCACCTGAATCGCTTGAACCTTGGCCACTTACTTGCAAACCTTAACACTAACCGCACTCCCTCCATGCCCTTTGGCAGGTTGACCGAGGCAGAAACGCAAATTCCATGATCAAGGTCCCAAACGCGGAGGGTGCAGTCCTGACTGCATCTCAAAGGTTCGAACCGACAAAATTAGATTCAAAAAAGCTGAGGCAAAGGCATGGGACCCGCTTACTGCATATCTAGATTTCCAATCTACCTGAGAAATTTTTGAGCTATCTACACCTGCAAGCCCAGCAAAGGCAATCTGCATTTTCTTAAGACCAGCACTGTGAGTGACATGACTCCATCACCATGACCACGCAAGGTATTCACCTGTCTGAAAGGCATCTTGAAAAAAGATGCAATTTCTGCTCTCCTTGCAACCTGCAGCCGTTATTCTGCCTGTACAAGTAAAAAGTCGGCAAGTGTCTCAGCTAATGGCGCAAGTGGCTTTCTCCAAGTCCCAAATCTTCAATGTACAATCCTTTCAGCGTCATCACACATTGTTATTGCTGCAGTGGCAAAGCCGATGGCGATGTAAGCTGCTGACTGTGCTGCAGCTTATTGCTGATGGCCTGGCAGCATTGCAGTGGCAAGGTTCCCCTGCAAGTCAATCGCAGGCATCACCCTCAAAAAGTTTCAATTTCAATCACGTTGTCCCTCAATGAAGTGTAACTGCAAATGTACCAATGCGACCCACAAGCTCGGTACAGTGTGTTCGCGTCTCCCCGGGAGGAAGGCCACCAATAACAGTATTTAAACATATTTAAACTGCCTTTACGCTGCAGACGTTATCACCACCCCTTTTGGGCATCAAGCAACCACTGCTGTTTGCTGACTGACACAGTGCAACTAGGTACACGTGCTATAGATGGCCGTGGTGTTTTTGGCTATTCTACATCATCAGCTGCAATAATTATGTGCAGGGCCACTGGTGAGAAATTGGAAGGTCTGAACTGCATATTGGAACACGGCTCCTGACTGGGAAGAAGCAAAAATTGAACACCTTAGAGTCACGGCTCCACAGTACCACTGAACAACCCCAAAAACTAACGAAACCTCGGCCATTTTTCCCGCGAGCGTCTGCGAAGGGTTCTTCGTAAAAAAACATCTGTAGAACTACGTCTCATCTACGTCTTCACATCTGCACATCTTCTACATTTGCACATCTACATCTCTGCTCATCTTCACATCTGCACAGAACTACGTCTCATCTACATGTTCACATCTTCACCTCTGCACATCCACATCTCTGCTCACATCTGCACATCTCACATCTTCACCTCTCGCTCTTCTTGTCTTTCTCTCTTAAGGCGGGGGCGGTGCCGCCGGGGCACCACGAAATGCGACCCTCTGCGGAGATCGTGCGTGTCGAGGGCGTGAAATGCAGGTGAGATGGCGTTTTGGATTTGTCGCGGGTAACCTTCTGCGGAGATCGTGCACGTTGAGGGCGCGAAATGCAGGTGAGATTGCGTTTTGACCCGGTCGCGGGCAACCCTCTGCGGAGATCGCGCGCGTCGAGGGCGCGCAACGCAGGTGAGATTGCGTTTTGGCCCGGTCGCGCGCGCGACCCTCTGCGGAGATCGTGCGTGTCGAGGGCGCGAAATGTAGGTGAGATTGCGTTTTGGATTGGTCGCGCTTCACTTTTGGAGGAAGTCTGGCACGAAACGCTGGTTTTGGAGACTTGGCGCTTCACTTTTGGCGGAAGTCTCGTACGAAACGTTTTGGGGACTTGGCGCTTCACTTTTGGAGGAAGTCTCGTACGAAACGCTCGTTTTGGAGACTTGGCGCTTCACTTGTGGAGCTGGACTCAGACCTGGCCAGTTTGTAGTGCAAATGTAGTGCGGGAAAGAGCTGTTCGGAGCTGGACTCAGAAGTGGCCAGTTTGTAGTACAAATGTAGTCCGGGAAAAAGCCTTTCGGAGGTGGACTCAGACCTGGCCACAGTTTGTAGTGCAAATGTAGTACGGGAAAGAGCATTTTGGAGCTGGACTCAGAAGTGGCCAGTTTGTAGTGCAAATGTAGCGCTGGACTCAGAAGTGGCCAGTTTGTAGTACAAATGTAGTATGGGAAACAGCGTTGCGGAGCTGGACTCAGAATATTTGCTTCTAGTGTGATATGATTGCTTGTAGTGTGCGCGCAGACCGTGTGGCGAAATGACGTTCGTGATGTCGCAGCGCCACGCGGATTGGCGCAGCCGTGGTGGGAAGTGCGTTGACGCGGCGCCGTGCCACTGGGGAGCGCGAAACATGCTGGTGTAAACGCGGCGTGCCGCTGGTGAGCGGGATGATTGGCGGTATCGCGTGATAGGATTGCTTCTGTGTGGGCAGACCGCGCGGCGAAAGTACGTCCGCGACATCGCAGCGCGCGCGGATTTGCGCGGCCTTGGTGGGAAGCGCGTTTGCGCGGCGCCGTGCCACTTGGGAGCGCGAAACATGCTGGTGTAAACGCGGCGTGTCGCTGGTGAGCGGGATGATTGGCGGCATCGCGTGATAGATCAATCTAATGCGTGGGCAGACCGCGTGGCGTGTCGCAACGCCATGCGGATTTGCGCGGCCTTGGTGGGAAGTGCGTTTGCGCGGCGCCGTGCCACTGGGGAGCGCGAAACGCGCTGGTGTAAACGCGGCGTGTCGCTAGTGAGCGGGATGATTGGCGGTATCGTGTGATAGGATTGCTGACCAGAGGCTGGTTTGAACTTTCAAGCTCATCCTGTGGGAGGGATGCCGCCTCAAAAAGACCGTGAGGAAGCCCTGGTGTGACGTTGGGTGGAATCGTGCGACGTGTGAGTCCCTCGACAACCTCCTTCACATCTTCGTAGCTCGTCTTCGCCAGCTACAGCCACGACCAAAGATCAGGGTGGCGCGATTGACTTAAACGCAAAAGACTACCAGAGCAGCTGTCAGGAGGCGATTGACGGATTTGAGACGAACGCAAACTTAATCTACAATCACTTCATGCAAAAATTATTCGTTTGAATCATAGTGCGTTACAGACAAAAGAAGACAGCGCTGTGAGTATGTGGATTTCATCTTGCAAGGCAAAACTTGAGAGAGGAAGGGGGTGAACGAAAGGTACCGCAGCACTGCGTGTGGAGAGAAACCGCCTACATAGCTTAAAACCATTGATCAAAGGAAGTTTAGTGCGCAAAACTTCCGTGTTACGGACATTCAACAGCTGTTCAATACACCACTCATCATACACGACTCATCATACACCACTCATCATACACCACTCATCATACACCAGTCATCATACACCAGTCATCATACACCACTCATCATACCATTCATCATACACCACTCATCATACACCACTCATCATACATCACTCATCATACACCACTCATCATACACCAGTCATCATAAACCAGTCAACACACATCACTCATCATACATCACTCTTCATACACCACTCGTCATACACCACTCATCATACACTAGTCATCATACACCACTCATCATGCACCACTCATCATACACCACTCATCATACACCACTCATCAAACACCACTCATCGTACACCATTCCTCATACACCACTCATCATACACCAGTCATCATAAACCAGTCCTCATACATCACTCATCATACACCACTCATCATACACCACTCATCATGCACCACTCATCATACACCACTCATCATACACCACTCATCAAACACCACTCATCATACACCATTCCTCATACACCACTCATCATACACCACTCATCATACACCAGTCATCGTACACCAGTCATCATACACCACTCATCATACATCACTCATCATTTTGTGAAGCTCCATGTGCAGATTTCGTGGCAGGCGCAATACAAAATGCGTTTTCGAGAGATAGCGGACGCACGAAATGCTGTATTTTTCAATAGAACCGGTGGCTCCTAACCTGGCAAGTCAAGGTCTGCGGAACGACGGTTGCGACACGGTCTCGGGTCATGCTCGGATCATGCTCGGATCATGCTCGAATCGTCCCTCCATTGCGGTTGGAGTTTTCACTTGCTTCTTGAAGTGCAGATTTCGTGGCAGGCACAGCATTTTGTGAAGCTCCATGCGCAGATTTCGTGGCAGGCGCAGCACTTTGTGAACCTCGAGGTGCAGGTTTCGTGGCAGGCGCAGCACTTTGTGAACCTCCATGCGCAGATTTCGTGGCAGGCGCAGCACTTTGTGAACCTCCATGCGCAGATTTCGTGGCAGGCGCGGCTCTTTGTGAAGCTCCATGCGCAGATTTCGTGGCAGGCACAGCACTTTGTGAACATCCATGTGCAGATTTCGGGGCAGGCGCAATACAAAATGCGTTTGGAGAGATAGCGGACGTACGAAATGCTGTATTTTTCAATAGAACCAGTGGCTTCGAACC